CGCGCGCGCGCGGGCGCATAAAAGATGGGGAGTGGGAGCAGGAGGAAGGTGAGCCGCTGGGACCTTGTCTGTGTCCAGCCCTTCTCCTTCCACTTATGCCCTGGTCGCTCCCAGCCCTTGTCTGAGTGGGTACACAGATTGGAGTCCTCTCTCTTGTGGGTTGATTAGTCTGGAACACAAAAAAAGGTTGCCCCAAGAGGGGACAGCCCGAGGGGAATATCCCCCAGCCTCTTCTTTGCCACTGGTTGGTCAGAACGTCCCCTGATGTYGCCCATCATCAGCAGATACAGACTGGGCTTCTGCGGCCGCTGTTAGGCCCACTCTCTTGCAGCCCTGACCTGCACAGGCCCATTGGTGCCTGCGCTGTGGGAAAGGCAGGCATGGAGAGCACCGCAGGGCAGAGGAAGGGGAGCAGYGTGCCTTACAGCCCCAGGAAGGCTCACCCTGCCGCTGCCTCCTTCCCGCTGTGTCCTTCCTCAGGCTGCTGCCCTGAGAGAGGGCGGCACCAGACTCAGCCTCCTGTGGAGGAGGAGCGTAGGGAAGCAGCTAAGAGCCCAAACTGGGTCCAGGTCCATATGCGAAATCCCCACCCCCATGGCTGCTGTTGGGAGTGGAGGATGGGGATTTCGCATATGGATCTTGCATATGGATTTCGCATATGGATCCGGGGATTAGGGACTGTCATAGGCAGGATAAGGAGTCCAGGTCCTGATCTCTTCAAGAGCCCTCTGGGAGGGATGCTCTGGCCTTTTGGGCCTCCCAAAGCACTGGCCAGAGGCTGTCCAGTGCGCCCATACCTCCTCTGTGGGGAGGCTCTCCCTTTTGAACACTCCCTGCAGTATGGATGGCAGTGTCCTAAGTCACCAAGTGCCCTTTCTGTTTGGGCAAAAGTTCTTCCCTCCACCTCTTTCTTCCACATTTTAACATAAACAAAGGGGCTGAGCCACTCCCCAGGGCTCTGCCTAAACCCCCAGCTAAACACCTTCACCTGCAGGTTTGCTTGCCACAGAGCCTCAGGGTGCGGTCAGCAGGGCCCTCTCACCCTGTCCCCTTTCTCCCAGTTTCCAGTAACATGTCGCTCATCTGCAGCCTTAACCAGCAGGGCCTTTAAGTCCACATTTCCACCTGTGCCTACGCATGCCAATTTAGGGACTCAGTAGGGGTTTTCTCTGCCACACTCCTGTGACTCTGATTCTTCACCCACAGAGCTGTTATATCCATTTTTCTTTCTCTTCCTTCCTCTCTCTTTTTGTTTCTCTTTCTTCCCAGGAGAGCTCCACCACTGAGCTATATCCTCAGCCCTTTTTAGGTTTAATTTTGAAATGGGTCTTACTAAGTTGTGGAGGCTGGCCTGAAATTTGTGATCCTCCTGCCTCAGCCTCCCAAGTAGGTGGGATTGCACGTGTGGACACCATGCTTGACCTGTTACATCCACAGTTTCTACTGATGTCTGTTAGAGGGATCTGTCTTTTTTCCTTTTCCAGCTTCTAGAGCCTGCCCCTATTCCCAGGCTTCCCGCAGAAGCCCAGTTTGTATCTGCTGATGATGGGCAGTGAGTATGGTGGAGGCTACCCGTGTTTCCAGGCTTCCTCCCCTCCAGCCTCAGAGCCAGCAGTGGCCACTCTGAGAGAGGGGACTCACTCTGGTCCTGATGCTCCTTCCTGCCTCTTTGCCGTGTAAGTGGCCCTGTGATGAAGCAGACCCATCTTGCAGGACGGGCCTAATCGCATCAYAGCCTCCACCCCTTCCACCTAACCTGACATTCCTGGGGCCCAGGGATTGGGACATTTTGGGGAGCCCCTGTTCTGCCGACCACTTCTGACTTTTCCTTATCTGTAAAAAGGGGTGACCGAGGCATCTACCCAGGTGTTGGTGGGGATCCGGGAGTTCATGTTGGCAAAGTTCTCAGAGCAGTGCTTGGGGTGAGGAAGGGCTGTATGCATCTTTGCTAAGTGAGTGACCGTCTCCCAGCCCTGAGCGGCTGGGACCTTAATAACTACAGGCAAGCGCGTCACAGAGGGCACGAGGCTCAGTGGGCTTCCAGTAACTTGCTCTATAAGAAATGCAGAGGTTAGAGGGGGGAAGTGCTGGTAGTTCAGTGACCAGCGTTTGCATGAAGGGCACTCAGTGATGGGGGACCTAGGTGTCGGGAAGGCCTGTTGGGATTCAATCCCTCTCGGCTTGGAACCAAGTAGAGGCCCAGTGATGATGGGTGTGACCCACAAGAGGTGAAGACCGATTTTCCTTTTTCTCTCCATAATCCTCTATGAGGACACGGCTTCTCTGCTGTCTCAGCTGGGAAGTGTGAATTTGCACGGGAGCCCAGGGACAATAGTGTTCTGGGTATGAGAAGCCCAGGTCACATAGATGTGTGGAGATGTCAAACAGAGATGGACCAGCCTTCTGTCCCTGTAGTCAGAGGACAGTGGTGAGTGGCCATTGTACCAGAGGAGTTGGGGGACAGATGGCTCTGGAGTTCCTGTGACATAGGCAGGGACTGAGAAAACTGGGGCTGTTTGGTAACTTCGGAACCGTAGGACTGCTTTCCGAATGCTGGAAGGTTGTSCGTGGAAAAGGGACCCAAGCCTTGTTCTGCTCCCTCCCCCTCCAGCCCCTGGAACTAGTTTTGTTGTGTGGGAGGACAGAGGGKTGGATCTTCTCAAGCCCTGTGCCCCCAGAGTGTGTGGGCATCGTGGCCGGGCCCCACGCCAGGCTCTCACCCTCATGTCCTTTCTTCATCCCCACGTGGGTCCTCCTGGGGGAGATTGGCCAGACCRTGCTGCAGACCAGCAGATTGCCTGAGGGGAGCCAGTGTTCCTGAAGTTACACCGTGACAGACACGGTGACAGGCCAGAACCCAGACCTCGCTCTTCCTGCCGCTGTGAAGTYGGGATCTGGATGTTGACGGGGCTAGACCCAGAGGAGCAGCCCCTTCCCTCCTAGCCCACGCTTAAGGGTCTTGGGAAGGGCTGGGCGAAGGTTTGGGGTGTCTCCACCATGAGCCTGTGCAGGCTGCGGGAGACAGGGAGCAGCTTTGGGGTRGACACTTCTTACTCTCTGCATGAGACCTGGAGCCATTGCTTGGATTGGTGCCTCCCAGTAGTTGATTCCTGGGGGTGAAATCTTGGTGACGGGAGGGAGCTTTGGGCGCTGGCCTGTGCAGTTAGATAAGCAGCCTTGGTGTCCTGTGAGGGCTCTGCTGTCTGGGGAAGTCCGCGGAGGGGAGGGTGGTACCCAGGTGAAATGCCATGGGAAAGGCACTGGGCCGTCCTGGGGCCCGTGAGCCCCCTTCCCCCTTCCACTGCACCCAGACTGCAGCCCCGACCCCATGCAGCTGCCCTAGGTAGGGGAATGAATTGGGGGTCCTGTGTCAGGTGGGGTGTCAGCAGTGGAGTCAGGGGTGATGTTGTGGGTGAGCCTGGCGGTGGCTGTCCTCGGCAGGGACCCCAGAGCTGCTGACAGTGGGTACTTCACTCTCCTGCCTGCACACAATTCAGAAGAGCCCTGGGGGATGGGTGCAGAGTGGATAGACAACCCCCAGAAAATGGGGTGAGGGGCCGAGTCACTCACTTGGCAAAGTTGCATCCAGCCCTTCCTCAGGGCCAGTGGCCGTACCCAGATGAGGCTTCTGAGGCGCCTCAGGTCGTGACGGGGTGGCCCTCAGCCTGGCAGCTGCTGTGGCTGAAGGCAGACCACCTGGTGGGTGGCGTCCCCTCCCGGTCCCAGGGCATTGCCGGGGCTGCCTCCAGCCGTAAGCCAGGCTTTACTGGCACAGCGCCACATCCACGTGCTGTGGGACACGGTGGTGGCTGCACGTGTGCGTAGCAGAGACTGTGGAGTTCAGAAGGCCAAGGTCTTTACAACCCACCCCTGCAGGAAGCTTGTTGACCCTGGGTTGGGTCATGTGAAGGAGAAAACTCTTCCCTAAAATGTTAGGAACAGAAACTTCCCGGAGTCTGTCTTTGGCGATGCTGGGAACGCCGGTTTCGCTTGACCTCCACACAGCACGTGTGCACGGTGTGCTTACTGAGCCGGTCCGCAGGGAGGGTCAGGGCCCGGGTTTAAGATTAACAGCTCCTACTGAGAGGATCTGGAGAACATTCCAGATTAGGTTTGGGGTCTAGACGTTCATTCTGCAGACCCTGTGCTGGGAGGTGGACCCACAYCCTCCTCTGCTGGAACTGGGGCACCTTTAGGGTGCAGGGCTTCTTGGGCACTGTCCTCTGCCTTGTTGACCAAGYGTGGTGGCCTGACGTGTGTGGGTGGAAAGCCAGGTGAAGAAACTCAAGTGTCTTGGTTCAGCAGGGGTGATGGCAGGAGTGTTGGCAGCCACACCTCACTCAGAGGTTTTGGAACCTGGTGGAGGCCTATGAGCAGCTCCTGGGTGAGAGGCTCGGCCCACAGCCCCCTGTGTGTGGGGTGCCCTGGAACCCCAGGTGGGGAAGGTATTTACTGGTCACAAGTCAGTGGGTCCAGGAGGAACTGGGCTGATGAAGGTCAGCTGTGCTTGTAAACTGTCACCTGAACCACAGCAAAAGCCTCTAGGAGTGCTTTATCTTGAAGCCCTCTGGGGAACAGAAAATGATGATCACAAATTCAGCTTGCCTCTGCCTCATTCAGGCGTCGTGTGACTCCCCTCTGACACAAGCACAGGTTAAATGACTGTTTATTCTCAGAACAGTGGCTTCCTCTCCATGACGGCAGAGTGTCAGGGTCAGGCAGGCCCGCCCTGGCTCTGCTCCGGTCCTCCTCGTGCAGGGGTGCCGAGAGGCTTTCTGGGGGGCTGCAGACCCTGCCTCTCCTCGCTTGGAGCCCTCCAGCCCCTCCTGCCGCAGCTTCCCCAGGTCTTCTCGGCAGGCTGTCGCCCAGCTCTGCCGGGCAGGTGTGCCCTCCTTCCAGTGTCCTCTCCCCAGAGCCCATGGGACGTTTCCCCATCTTTCACTCCTTCCTGCAGGGCTCCTCACCTGCAGCCTTCATGAGCAAGGAGGGGGCAATGGCGAATGGTGGATRTTTCTGGAATAAAGCTGATCGACAAACTTCAAGTTCGTCTAACAAAGGCCACTCAAATCAGAAGCTGTGCATGTGAAGCCAGTCTCTGATGCACTGCTTTTTGAAAGAGGGCGAGGGGTGGCRATAGCTCTTCTGCTGGTGGTTCTGAAATTGTTTCCAACTCCCCATTGTCGAATGGCCACTTTGTCTCCATAAATTCCCCAAAGACCCCTGTTTAGAGGGGAGCCCCTGGCAGGCAGAGTAAGCTGCAGCTCCCACGCTGGGGCTACACACAGTGGGAGTCCTTCCGTTGGCCAGAGCACTGACTGGTGGGAAGAGAAGTTGTTTTATTTAACCAGTAACAAAAGACCTTTCTTTCTCAGACACTCCTATYTTTATTGGCAAAATAGCTCCTGGTGGGAGTTGGGGTCCGGGACTATCAGGTAGGAGCAGGAGCAGACCCCGGGAACCTGCCCACACCCAGACAGCTTCAGCAACTCCCACCCCACGCTGCTTGGCCTCTGCCYACCACTTAAACAGCAGCTGCATTTTTCTTTGTTATAATGAGACTCCTGGTATTTCTTGTAAAAGAAAGTTTCTATACCACATTCTTTGGAATTTAAGCTGTGAAAATTCAGATGTGGACAGTCCACATGTTTAAAGACTGTTTTGAAGGACCATGTAGCTTCTTTAGACCTGAGCTTTTACAGCTTAGAAGTCCTGCAGCAGCCCGGGACATCCTCAGACTCCTTTCTTGGTCACTATTATGGCCTTCTCCTCTAAGAATTAGTGAATGTGAATGTTTACATACATGAACACCTGAATCGAATCCATCACCACTGGGAAACATGGAGCAGTCGTTATAAACATTGGCTTTTCCCTTTATTTCTGAAAGTTAGGGTGCACTTATTATACATTGTTGCCAAATACTCAATGGTGATTAGAAATTTTATTTAAAATCCTTAGGACATGAAAAATTTCCAAGTAGAGCATTTACTTAAAAAGTCATGGCCGAAGTGGAATTAAGTAAGTAAACATGAAATACAGCCCTTGAGGGACGCTTTGCGTACTGCAAGTCYAGTCAGGGAATGCTCACGGGCTGGCATTATGGTGTTACCGGTTACTCTGCCTTACATGTAATTTAAAATTAAAAGACTGTTGGATCACACAGAGTGTATCATTCTGAGGTGGCCTGATTAATGTACTGTCTTTATTTTTGAATTTTGTGGATCAATTTCCCTATTTTGGAAGGTTCTTAATTTTATTTRAAGGCATAAATGGTTGCTCTTGTAGTGAACTTACACCTCATAGAAAGCTCTTTGTTGTTGGCTTCAGATCAGACTTGAAATGTTTACCTGTATTTGAAATCAATKTTTCCATATGAAGAATGAGTCGAGCTGTGTCTGCAGGACTGCTTTCGTGGGCGGCTGCACTCTCAAGGCAGCCTGTGGGCTCCTGTGACCCGTCGGGATCCACCTCCTGCCCTGCAGCCTCGAGATCCAGGCTCCACTGCAGACTTTGGCCACATCAAACTTTGGCCACATCGTTACTTGCCCTGGGCTGGAGGCTGCTCCAACCCTTTGTGTACTGTCTCTCATTCAGTCCTCGCAAGTTCCCCAAGTGGCAGCAGAAGGTTGTTTTCTTGGAGTCCCGGGAAGCCAGGGTGGCTGAGCTGGGGTGTGAGCTGGGCAGAGGYCCCAGGGTTTGTGTTCTTAATCACCAGGCTCGCGGCGCCCTTCCCAGAAGTGACAGCATTCTRGAGTGAAACAGTGGGGAAGAGTTGCCCAACCTGGGTGTTCCTGTTCACAGTATCACAACTACAGATTACAGCACCGTCTTTTTAGTGCCTGGTGAACTGGAAAACACCGCTGTACCCAGAAGGGGTGCATTAGAGGCAGCTGGGACCTCAGGGCTGCCTGTCTCGTAACTACAAGGCTGGTGCATGGAAATGCCAGTTTGGCTCTTAACCTCATAGAGTGACATGCACTTCTCATGTCTGTGGTATGCYTTGTCATAGATGTGAAAGGGCCCATTACGTCATGGGAAAAAGGATGACATTTATTTTATGGAGWACCTTCTCAAGAGCTAAGGAATACTGCAGAGGTTGCAGCACTTGAGTGAGCACAGAAATCAGAAAAGATACYTTGGGAACGGTAGGAAAGACACTTTCCAGTTATCCATAAGGGGCTGGGGCTGTAGCRCAGCGGTAGAGTTCCTGGCCACCACGTGTGAGGCACTGGGTTCAGTCCTCAGCACCACATAGAAAATAAATAAATAAAGTAAAGGTATTGTGTCCRTCTATAACTTAAACAAACAAACAAACCAACCACCCATATCACCTGTCCCATGCTTCAGGCTCCAGGTCCRTCGGAATGCCAGGCTGACCCTGCAGACTCTTGTGGCAGGCCACCCAGAATGGCTGGTGAGGGCCTTTCCCCACCAACACCAGTTCATAAAGACAAGTAGGTGCCCCCCTTTCCAAATGCACAAGGAGAAAAGAAAAACAAAAACAAACTTGAGACAAGTGAAAACGGAAACCCAGCGAACTGACATTGATAGGTTTCTAAGTTCTAAGGAGAAAGTTTATAGGTATTAAATAACACATTAAAAATGAGAGCTTGCAGCTTTAAAAAAATAAAACCATGGCATTTGCAGGTAAATGGATGGCGTTGGAGAAGATAGTGCTAAGTGAAGTTAGCCAATCCCAAAAAACCAAATGCCAAATGTTTTCTCTGATAGAAGGAGGCTGACTCATAGTGGGATAGGGAGGGGGAACATGGGAGAAACAGATGAATTCTGGATAGGGCAGAGGGGTGGGAGGGGAAGGGAGGGAGCAGGGGATTAGCAAGGGTGGTGGAATGTGTAGACATCATTATCCAGAGTACATGTATGAAGACACAAATTGGGTGTCAACCTACTTTATATGCAACCAGAGATATGAAGAATTGTGGTATATACGTGTAATAAGAATTGTGATGTTAAAAAAACAAGTACATGTATAAAGTCATGAATTGACGTGAACATACTTTATACAAAGATATGAAAAATTGTGCTCTATATGTGTAATAAGAACTAATGCATTCTGCTGCCGTGTATTTAAAAAAATAAGATTAATTTAAAAAAAAGAAGAAGAAAACAAAAACGAGAGCTTGACGTAGGCCCAGCTGCTTGCTGTCGAAAAGATCAAGTTCACGAAACCCAGGAAGGTGGTGTTGRTCCTGGCCGGACGCTTCTCTGGACGCAAAGCTGTCATTGTGAAGAACATTGATGATGGCACATCAGACTGTCCCTACAGCCATGCTCTGGTGGCTGGAATCGACCGCTATCCCCACAAAGTGACAGCTGCCCAGGGCAAGAAGAAAATTGCCAAAAGGTCCAAGGTGAAGTCTTTTGTGAAGGTTTGTAACTACAGTCACCTCCTGCCCACAGYTGCTCTGTGGGTATCCCCTGGACAAAACTGTCATCAACAGGAGGTCTTTAGAGAGCCTGCTCTTAGACGTAAGGCCAGTAGGAAGACCAAGGTGAAGTTTGACGAGAGGTGCAAGCCGGGCAAGAACAAATGGTTCTTCCAGAGCTTCAGTTTTAGATTTTTTTTTTTTTTTGTTGTTGTTCCCTATCATTAAAAATGAAATTTTAAAAGAAAAAAAAAAGTGAGAGCTTGCAAGTAAACAATCTACCTTTTACACTTTAAGGAACTAGAAAAAGCAGAACAAGTTAAGCATGAAGTTAGCAGACAAAATTGACAGACCTTTAGTTGGACCAAGAAAAAAAAAAGAAGACTCAAGTAAGTGTGAAGAGGAGACTTTATAGCTGATACACACAAAAGTACTAAGAATCGTAAACTCCTATAATTGAACACTAACAGATTGGCTAACCTAAAGAAATGTATAGATTCCTAGAAACACAGCGTCCCAAGACTAAATCATGAAGACAGAAAATCTGAACTGACTGACTGATGAAAGAGATTGAATCAATAATTAAAMACTTCCCAATAGAGAAGAGCCCAGGCCCCGATGGCTTTGCTGGTAAATTCTAACAAATGTACAAAGAAGAATTAACATTAATCTTTCAAATGTTTCCAAACATTGAAGAGGAGGGAAACTTCCARACTCATTTTAGGAGGCCCACATTATCCTGATGCCCAAACCAGACAAATAAACCCCAACATTACAGAYTGATATTCCTGATGAACATTGATGCAAAAATTCTCAATAAAATACAGCAAAATGCCCAGCATAATAAGAACATCACTTRCCACAATCAAGTGGGTCGGACCTCTGGGGTGCAGGGATGGCTCAGCATATGTACATCAGTAAGGAGATGCATCACTTCAACAGGGTGAGGGGACTGAGACCAGATGTCATCTCAGTAGGTGCAGAAAGAGCGTTTGAGAAAATTCAACATTGTTTCATGATAAGAACATTTAACATCACTGTGGCACGTGCCTGAAGTCTCAGCCACCCTGGAAGGCTGAGGTTGGAGAATGGCTTCAGCCCCAAAGTTCAAGGCCAACTGGGACAAAGTAGTGAGACACCCTCTCAAATAGAACAACAACAACAAAAAAAACCCAAAAAAACCTCTCCACCAACTAGATATAGGAGGAACAAGTACACCACAGGGTACAACAGGCCAACACCCAGCACCCAACACGTGGGGTGAAGAGCTGACAGCTCCTCCTCAGATCAGCAACAAGATGGGTGCCCACTTGCACCGCTTCTATTCAGCATGATCCTAGAAGTCCTAGCCAGAGCAATTGGAGAAGAAAAAACAAAGGTATCCAGATTCGAAAGGAAGAAGTAAATTGCCTTCTTTTACAGATGACATGAGTTTATATACATAGAACAACTCTAAATGCTCCACCAAAGCACCGTTTAGACCTAATAACAAGTATAGCAAAGTTCCAGTATACAGAATTATCAAACAAGAGTCATTTGCACTTCACTACATGAATACAAGCTATCTGAAAAAGAAATGGAGGGCAAAATCCCATGTATAAGTAGTACCAAAACCAAATTCAGAGGGATAAATTTAACCAAGGAGGTGGAAGATCTGTAAACCAAAAACATGAAACATTGGTGGAAGAAATTGAAAAAGACATAAGTGGAAAGATGTCCCGTGTTCGTGGGTTAGAAGACTAAATGTTGCTAAAATCCCTGTACTTCTGAAGTGACCTACAGATTCAGTGACCAACACAAACTCCTGAAATTCATGTTGAAACTAAAAGACACAGAATTGTAAGGAAAAATAAAAAGGGAGACACAGAAACAARATGCAGAGGCAGGAGAGAAAGATGGCAGAATGGCAGCAAGGCCAAGCTGCCAAGCTTTATTACATCCATAGGTTACTCTAGGTCATTGGCATCATTAGTACACA